TGAGAAAGCATAGCAAATATACCTGAGCTAGTGGGGAATCTAAAGTAAACCTGAAAGCATAACTTCTAACTACATTATATCTTCTTTATAGATTTTGTATGTTCCTGACCCAGACTACATTTCTAGTGTGGACAGCTCCCCCTCTCTAAGTCCTATAAGTCCCCTATCTCCTACATCTTCAGAAGCAGAGATTGACAAGGCTACAGTAAATGTAGGTATACCTCTTGTCCTTGAAATTAATTTTCCCTCACAAGATAAGTGTTACAGATGCTATGCTTTCTTCTGAAACTATCCAGTTGGTTTGGGGAGAAATCACCTTACAATACTTGGCATTGAAAAGTGCAATAGTACCTTTTTAAAAGTAAATACAAGCTTTTAATCTCTGTAAATGAGAGTTTTCTATATGAAAAATGGTTTGAAGGCAAGTTATTTGTAGCAGAATAACTGTCCTTGCACACTGCAATCTTAAATACCAGTTCCTGTTGCATTTCTGTGTTTGTTACCTTTCGGAACTAGTTAAATATTTGTCTCTAACCTTATTGATAGTTTTTGTCGCAATGATACATTGGGAAGATTACTCCAGGAGCTAGGAGGTAGGGGTTCCCTCTGCTCCCTGTAGAGGTGTGGGAGGGGATTCTCTGGTTTCATTTAGCAAAACAGAAGTAAAGAAAAAAGTCTGTTTCAGTGAAGGGCTCATATGGAGTTAATTATAGCTGACTTCCACTTGGTAGTTCTACCTATGTAGGCTTTCAAATACTTTAGCATTATATAATATATTATTATTATATATTATAGCTGGTTAGCTATCAAAGCTGCTCTGTCATTCAGCTTGAATGTAGTTTTTTTGGCTGGGAGCTAGCTTTGTAAAAGCCTGTCTTTCCAGGAACAGAATTCCATGGGGAAAACTCCAGCCAGGAAGATGCAGTATTGGGGTCTGAGCTTCTCTGCAGTTCATGCAATTATGACCTTATTCAGAGGTTTCTTGATATGTCACTACTGTTCTTCTCCCAGTTGTTATCTTTTTTCTCAAATAAACGAATTTTCTTGATAGTGCTCAATCAAGCAGTCAAATGTCTACTCCAGGATTCTGTCTGCTCAGAGTTTAGGAAGGTTTCAGACTTTAAGCATTTATTTATTTATTTGCTTGCATGACTTGGTCCAGAGAAAATTAGATGTAAAGGTATTGCTTTGCTGCTGAATAGGATACCGAACTGCAGTCCGAAGGCTGAGCTGACCCTTCCACTGAAAATCACTGTTTGGTTTGGCTGTTACGCCTTTACTCTGATCTAGTGCACCTGTCGTTGTGAGGTGTCTGCTGGCAATTGTACTGAATAATTTATTTTGTGTTTTATTGCAAACTGAAGGCATTATAGCTCAGTAAGTAGAATAGTCTGGAAGAATACATTCTTCTAGATCGATCTCAGAATGACTGAATGCTAGGATAGGCCTGCCCAGGTAGCGTATGTTGTGAGAAGTTACTCAAGGGAAAACTGTTAGTTTTAATGCTAGAAATCAGAGCTCTTCCTACAATGCTCTAGATCCCGTGTCAGAAAAATACTTTATTCTTGATTCTGTGGATTATTTTATATGTGCTTGTTTGGATATAGTATATAAGGAGGCTTACGAGTGTAACCATATCTGTAATCTGTTTGAAATTTTTATTGGCTACATGCACATAGTAGAGATAAAAGCTTGAAAGTGTAGAAAAACCAAAAAGTACATTAAAGTGCTTTAAAAGTTAAAATCTTCGTATGCAAAAGATTTTTGTTTAGTGTAGGCAGGTCAGTGTCAGCACAATTTGAGGGTTAAATTTAATTTACCTGACCCTATTGCTGCAGATCTATCCTGTGCGTCTCATTCCATGTCATGGGTCACTACAAACAGTTCTTAGTGCTTCAGGGAAAGTCAAACAAATGAGCATTGCGATGTAATACATTGTTTATGGGAATTTCTGTTTCTGAAAGGAGGGAAGGGATGTTCCTAGATGCAGTTTGTGAAAAGAGAGCAAAGGGCAGAAATCACTTGCACTTGTCAGTGTGGACTCGGTGTGTGTTTGGTTTTGTTTTTGCAACAGTCTCTCCCAGAACACAGAAAGCACTCAGCTTCTATTTGAACAGGTAAGGATGGAGGGGTTTGTTCTTCATCATAGCACCTATGTTCTGTGTTTCTCTTTTCTCTTTGCTGATTGCTGTCCTTATGAACCAGACAAATACTAGCATATGTTCTCTAGTGCTCTGTATTGATGTCTCTCATCTTTGACTCTCCTCCAATTTTGACTCCAGATTTGCAGTTTAAGCACATTTCAAGGTAAAGAGGATATGTTGCTCTTCCTGTATGATGTAAAAGGGTCTTCTCTCTGTGCTGTAGTCATTGAGATCGATGAGTTCTTGATAGAAATTAAATAACATGGCAAACAAATATCTGAACCTCTGTTGAGGCAAAATATAAACTATTATATACTCTGTTCATTTGTTTCTGTTTATTAAAGATTGAAGTCTCTTGACACAGGCATGGGGCTAAATACAAACCAGCATGTGGCTGATACAAGACCTGCATAACCCTGTTCAGTTTTTTTTTTCCACATTGCTACACTAAGCTAAGATTTCAGTGTGTATTTCAGGAAGTTTGTTAGTGTCAGCATGTAAGAACTCAGCTTGAGTTTTTATACCTTTTCTATGCTGCTGGGTTTTGTGAAGGATTTCTTCATTCAGGAGTCAGTATTTGAGAAGATCCAATAAGCTTTACTACCTATAAAACTTAAAATCCACTTCAAGGTAGTATGTAGTGACTAGAGTGTTGTCATTAAATTTGAAAGTCTGCCACCAGTATTTTTTCTGCTTCTATGTCATGTGGCAATATGAATGAGACATAGCTGGCTTATTCACAGTGGACTTGGATATCAGCTGGGGACTCTTGCAGCCACTTGCTAAGTTATATGCATCACAAAGATGACCACAGAATTTTTAGGAGAAAGGCATATGTTGCTGCTAGCCAGGGGGTAGAACCACAAAACACCACAACTGCTTGTTTACCCCCCCCCCTCCTGGGTCTGGGGGAGAGGATTAAAGGGGTAAAGGGAGAAGAGGCTCGTGGGTTAAGATAAGAACAATTTAATAACTAAACTTCAATAGAATTGAAAATAATAATGGTAATATATATCAATATACAAATGAGTGATACACAGTGAAACTGCTCATCACCCAATGGCCAAGACTCAGCCTGTTCCCAGGAAAAGATCTCGGAGGAGGGAGAGTCCTGAAAGTGCAATCCCAGAGAAGAGAAGAGCCTGAGAGACCCAAGAGCTGACCGAAAGAGAGACAAAGAACTTCCAGGCAGTCCCCCACCTGTATGCTAGGCATGGTGTGCATGGTATGGCATATACTGTGGGCCAATTTAGGCTTCAGTCCTAAACCTGAGGTCAAATTCTGGGGCTGTGCTCCCTCCCAGCTTCTCCTGCCCCTGCAGACACGGGCACAGCAGAGAAGCTGGAAAGTCCTTGACTGTCCTGATAGCAACTATAAACATCAGTATGTGATCAGCTTCTCCTCAGCACAAACCCAAAACATAACCTCTTACCTAGCTGCTGTGAAGAAAGCGAGCTCTGTCCCAGCGCAAACCAGGACAGTGTATATAGAAGGAGAACTCATCTCCAGGAAGTTTACTTTTTAATTATAACTTCATTAACTTTTTCAGCAAAATTCGGTTCAGTGTTTTATAAGTTGTTTTGTGGTTTTTTTGTTTGCTTTCTTACTAAAATTGAAAGTAGTGCCAGGGAGGTGATGAACTGAAAACAATTGTGTATAATGTTCTGCAGGTGTTCCGCTGCGATCTGTACCAGTCAATAGAATTGAACAGAAAAGCAGAAAACCAAAGAAGACATAGAAGTTGACATTTTTTGTAAACAGTAATATTTTATTAGTAACTAAAACTAGCAGTTATGTATGAAATGTAAGTCTTTAAATGTTGGTTAAGCTCCAAAACAGGGTTGCTGTGACCATAAAGTAGGCTTTGTCACGGTCTGTCTACTGTACATGGAGCTTTTTGTTAATTTCTGTTCCAATTTTGCATGTGACAGTATATCGGATGGTTTGCTTATGTGAGTTCTGATTGTTATTTTGTTTATTCCCGGGTTGATTCTGAATATCTTTGCCCACTTGTGTTTCTTATCATGGACTAGTTAAGCTGTGCTTCATTAGTTATATACACTGTCAGATCAGAGCAGTCTTTTAAACTGCAGTGGGTTTGGAACCATATTTTTTTTGCTTTCCTGTCAAAGAAAAAGAACAACAATTACACAACAAGAAATCTATTAAAGTTAATATTAAAAAAGGCAGGTTGCTAAGTTGTGTTGTTTTTTTTTTTTGTATTCCCTTTTAGGATCCAGATGGGGTCCAGCAGAAAGAGTTGGCTGCTTCACCAGCACATGCATGTGTTCGTCCTGCAAGAGTGGTATCATCCACCTCTGAAGAGGAGGAAGCGTTTACAGAGAAATTTCTAAAAATTAATTGCAAGTACATCACTAATGGCAAGGTACTTAAACATTCAGGTTTTACTGTTACTGTATGGGATGTAAAGATAAAGTACATTTAAGCCATAAACATACAGTAAAATTTAGTTACTGGGAGGCAGATGGATCAGGTTATATACGTGTATATAAACGTATTCATTTTTTTATTCACAGTTTGCTTTTGATTCCCAGACCATTTGTTTCTTATATGGGATGCAGGCAGCTAATATGCAACTAACTTGAGACAAACTTCCCTGTTAAGTGATTCTCTTGTGTTGAGGGCATGAAGTCTGTTCCTTATTTTAGTATATCTTGTAAGTAATTCTCTTCACTTGCAGTGGAGAAGAACATGCCTTGAAGCATAAGGAAGTATGAAGCTGAGTAGCTTCAATGCCATTTTTGTGAAGCAGAATTAACCTCTTATTCTGTAAACAAACCCTTCTGTATTGGGTATAGCTTGGTAGAAACCTTGATTTTTCTTTGAAGCAGTAGTTCCAGTTCTCTCAATGGTGTCATTACACAAGTGTCTCCAAGTTAGTGGCACTTAATTAACTTCCATTCAGCTCAGGTGCACACGTCTTGTGCTGGTTTTTAGGGACTGAGATCATGTCAAAAGACTTTACCTCAGGATGCTTTAGGAAAAACCAAAATGTATTGCTCTCCCACCCCCCAGAGAAGTGGCTGTTAGATACTTTAATAATGGAAAATCATACCTTAATTCGAGCTGAATGAATGCAAAGAAAGTACTTCTGGTACTTCCTTCTTCACCTGAAGCTTGGGTATGTATATACAAATACTGCTGGTTCTGTGTTGCTCAGCGATAATAAGTTGCTCTGATGACAAACAGATAAAGAGAATATCCTAAAACTGCTTCTCTTTTTTTTTTTTTTTTTTTTTTCTGGTGGAGAGAATTGCAGATCTATGTATTTCTAGATGTGAAGCCTTTAGACAGTATGTGTATATTGGCAAAAGCTGTGTTAGAAGTTGGTAAGAGGAGTACTGGAAAAGCTTTGTTACTTGGTTCTACTTTGCAGTTAAATTTGTTTCACTGCTTCGGTTCTGTCTCTAGGTGACTTTTTTTAGGTTGATCCTAGACAAGTCATTACTTCTCGGTTTTAAGCCCTCTGATGCAGAGGAGTTGAGAACTGTGAGCCTACAGTTGTCTGTCCTGAAAAAGAAAGATCTCGGGTTAAAACTTAACAGTGTATTTATGTGCCATAATTCCTTATCAGAGCATTATGGGGAGTGTTCACAGCCTACATCTCTGACTTGCATCTTTACAGCCTATTTTCATAAGATCTTCACAGAGAATTCTGTTTCTAAAGGGTTGTATAATCCACTGCAGTAGCACCCCATACTTGGGGCAGTGGGTGGGGAGAGAAACGAGTGCTAAGGTGCTGAGATTTGAGTGCCAGGTTTCATAGGTATAGCATGTACCTTAGCCTTTGTGTCACAGGTGGTGGGCATGTCCCTGGGCATGTCATGTTGTTCTCCTCTTGATACATTTCCTGATGATGCAGGATGATAAATCTTCAAAGGTTTTCTGGAGAAAGCCTAAAAGATTCATCCTGTGCTTCCCACTCTGGAGGTGATTTTGGAGCCCGTTGTTACACTGTTCTGTAGGGCTTTAGATGTGAAGTCTCAGTCATCACTGTTGACTGGTGCTCGTAAACTAAAATCTAGGGAAAGCCTCTTTTATCAACGTGTTTAACTACACATATGCGAAAGGGCTTGCGTTAGGGTAAGACTGCCTCATTTCTCACTTTCCGAAACTGCTTATTCTGTATGTGTTTGGAGTTGGTTTCAGTCACACCTGTGACTTCCTGGACAGTCACACAATTCTCCGAGATGCAGTGGCTGGAGCCTGGAAGCATTTGCTCTGTTACAATATTTGCTCTCGGTCACCTCGTTATGGCTACTGCTAGAGGCAGGCGTTGGGCACAGTTAGAAACAGGGGGGTGTGAATGTGCCACATCCCGAGGTCAGACAGTAAATCAGTGCAGAGTAAGCAGCATGCTGCAGAGTCACGCCTTTACTCACTGTGTTGTGTGTGTAGACATCCCCTTTCTGGGCAGCAGTGCTGTTTGCTTTGTTTGTAGAAAGGCGTGCTGCTCTGGTTTTTCATTCTTTGCAGTGTTTGTTGGAGGCAGAAAAAGGTATCTTAAACAGTCTGATTGAAACTGAGAAAGGAGCTTTGAAGTTTGGTTCTTTCTTATGCTTGCTAGTTTATTTGTCTTGTTTTAAAAAGTAGGTAAAGGAAAATTACAAATACTAAGTCTTAAAAAAAACCAAGCTCAACCAGCCTGGAAATGTGGGCACAAAAACACTAACACATTGTTCATGAAGAGACAAGGAGGACACTGAGGAGGTTCAAAACTCCCACACTCAACAAAGAATAAAACTAAGTTTTTACCTTTATGATTAAAAGTTTCACAAATCATGCATTACAGTTTCTGTTCTACCTGTGTGTTCAAGAACGTAATGGAATTATTTAGAGGTAGCTTCTGTTTGAAAGCTGTCAGAAGTGTTCTCAAACCTTCATAAAAATGTGTTTTACTGAACTGCCTGATCTTAATGTTTGGGCACACCAATGTCAAAGTTTGGCTCTAACCTTTATCATGGTTTTTTGAATTTCTATCTGAGATAGTGTGTAGGATTTGGAGCTCCCACTTCCTGAGGTTTAAGGAACTTTAATGGAACTAAATTAAAACTGATTCAGAATTGAATATCTGCATGCAGATGTGATTTAATCTCCTTTCAATATCCATATTGTTTTAATCAGGATTAATATTTTCTGGACCAGATTTAAGACTGAAGGGATCCGTTTTTAATAACCTTGTGTGTCCACATGGTTTTCAGTAATAAAATGGCTCAGCATTTCTCCTTCAGGCTGTTAAATCTGAATTACACCTGAATAGAAATTCACTTCATGTCTTTAGAGTCTGTTTTACATACAGGAAACTGAACTTCTGCAGGGGGGATTTTGGGGAGTTTTGTTCAAGAACCAGAACTTCTTAGTAGTTGTATGTGGAGTCTAATTTTTACTTCAGTTTCATTGACAGTGTTTTTTATACTTTTTTCCTCAACAACTAGTTTTAAGTATGGTCCAACAGAAACTCGTCAGTGGTTATTTCATAGAATCATTAAGGTTGGACGAGACCTCAAGTCCAGCCCAACCCCACCCACTAACCCATGTCCCCAAGCACCACATCCACACGTTTCTTGACCCCCTCCAGGGATGGTGACTCCACCACTGCCCTGGGCAGCCTGTTCCAATGCCTCAGCACTCTTGCAGTGAAGAAATTTTTTCTAATCTCCAGCCTAAACCTCCACTGGCGCAACTTGAGGCCATTTCCTCTTGTCCCATCACTTGTTCCTTTAGAGCATAGCCCAGCACCCCCCTCACTGCACCCTCCTTTCAGCAGCTGTAGAGAGTGATGAGGTCTCCTCTCAGCCTCCTCTTCTCCAGACTGAACCCCCCCAGCTCCCTCAGCCGCTCCTCGTCAGCCCTGTGCTCCAGACCCTTCCCCAGCTCTGTTGCCCTTCTCTGGACCTGCCCCAGGGACCTGAAACTGTTGTGACCAGTTGGTGGAGGATGTCCTAAAAAACTGTTTCCTGCAGTCCTCTATCAGCAATTCAGCTGCTTATAGACTTTGTTCTTTATTTTAAATGAGAACTAGGAAATGAGATTAGAGCGTATGCTGGCACTGTACTGGAGTCATGTAGGAGTTTGCAGTGTGCATGCTGTTGCCCGATATTTTTGCTTATGCTTGTCCTCTGATTTGCTGATCTCTCTAGCTACATTATTGGTACAAATAACTTTTAAAAATATTTTGAAAACTGAATTTGCATAAAAGAGCTATTTCTAAAACGTTCAATAGATGTTGATTACCATGGAAGGGTTCTGTACTGAAGACAGCACGGCAGAGCATGGCCACAAAGGAGAGGCTGGGCTCCTCTCCCTGTCTTGATATGGGTAGGTGAGGGCAAAGGGCTTAAGTCCCCATGCTGTTCTTTACTCTGAAGAATATATTCACACTGAAAATATTTTCAGGAACTCAATCAGGCCAGAGAGGGAGCTTTGGAACTTTCTCCCTGCTCCAAAACCAGGGAACCAAGATGATTATATGGGCAGCAGACTGTAGGCTCTCCGTCTTCTGCGGTGGTTGTAAGACAGCAGGAGATGAGGCTATCAGAGTCGGTCACTAAAGAACAGCAGGCTCTGGGGTTTTTTCCTGACATCGGTGTTGTTACCCATTTCTGGGTATCGTGTAGAACAGCTGTGACATCTGCTGCCATTGTGCATAAATGTGTATGAGTAACCAAAAGAGTCGGTTCAGAACCTAAAATGAGTGCAGGGTACCAAATGCTGAAGGCTTCAGCGCTGGCTTCCTCTGAGAGTTGTTCTGGAGTATGTGGATTGTACAAATGCTAGCGTAGAAGTCTGACGTATAATAACAAGTCAACAAGGGAATGAATGTTCAAGTACTTCTTTAAAGGAGAGGATATGTCATTTTTATCTTTACTTATGCAAAACCATAGTTTTGCTCTCAAAGGCTGGAGCTGCTTCAGTTCCCATCTTTCAGGGAAGACTGGTGTAATGCAATGGGCAGTTCTTGAACAGTGGTTGGCTAGGTACATGTGTTCCCACTTACATGTTTTGTTCTGAAACTACCATATTATTTTGATAGAAAAATTTTATCATCTTTTATTGCCTGAAATCCTCCACCAACTCGAAAGCTTTAGTGCTTCCTGTGTACTTAATTTGCCAAGGCAGGATCATTTGTTCATGACGTAGTGAACAAATGAATACAAAATCTTAGTCTGAAATGAAGAGTTCTCCCATGAACTTGATTACTGATTGCTTCTACTGAGTAATACATCATTGTCGAAGTTGGTGTAGAATATTCAAATCCTTCAGCTAAAGCGGTCATACAACTTTAGCTTGGTGTTTTTTTTTTTCTTTCCAGCCTGACTGTTCTGAAGATTCATGTGCAACGTGTGTGCAGTGAAAGAGTAGAACAGAATGTTTCAGTTGGAAGGGATTTGCAATTCTTATCTAGCCTAACTGCCATCTGGGCTATGGCCTTGATTGTTCTGGATCAGATCTGGAGAATATTAATAAAATTCCACTTTTGTATGTTGTCACTAGTGAAAGAGCTTAGATTCTGAAATGATGATGCTTTTTTTGCATTATGTATTCAATTTACAGAAGTGGTATTTGTTTAGAAGAGGAGCAATTGTTGTTCTGAGTCATGGACTTTTCCGGTCCTGTTAAATTTATTTTCTAGACTTAGTGGATATAACCAAATGTAGACTTCTGTGGACAGTCATCCTCTTGGAGTTCTTTTTTGCACCTTGAAAGTCCATTTCCACGACACAGTGCTGGGAAAGAAATACCAGCGACAGTTTAGTTTCAGTGTCTTAAACACCTTAGAATTCTTTAAATATGTTCTGCTGACTTGTAAGTCTTTAACATATGCTTTGTACTCTGAAAGGCACACAGGAAAACTGACTAGGCACTGAGCAACTAGGAGAACTTAAGTACAGATGCTTGAGCTGCTTTTGAGACCTGTTTTTATTTTTCCCCAGTAGTGATACCATTGGCCATTGCTGTAGGATTTAATACCACTTTGGTTTGTTTTTTATAACTTGCAGTTTTCTACTTGCTGTATGGCATCTGTCTGCTGTGAAGGTCATCAGCCATCACTGTGCTGGGAACAAATTTCTGGAAATGGGAAAGAATGTAGTTGTATTTCATGCTGTGCTGTTATGTTGTCTTAAAACAAAAATGAGAGCAAGCAATGCCCCTGATACAGTGCTTGTAATCACTGTGAGCAGTTTATCAGGGAGCTTGATATTTATTCAATTCCTGATAACCTGCAGCAGCACACAAAACAATTCTTTTGTGATTCTTGCACAAAAGTTTTGAATATCTTGCTAAGTTTGTCAAGTCCTTAGGATTCAAGCTCTGTAACCTAAGGATCACTGTCATCTTGCTTAAAGCTTCGTTTCCTCCCGTTCGTAGGTTAAACTCCGCCATTGTAACAGCTTAATGAATTGCCTTAGCAGGCAACTGAGGGTGGTGCTTGCACGTGTTTCTAACACCTACAGAAAAGGTTCAGTGTATTGTAAATTAGCTCGATACCTGGATTGTGTAAGAACCCTACAGCTCATAGAATGAGTATCAACTCTCTTTAAATTTTTTCATACTAGAAATTTAAAATTACTTGTGTTTGTGTACTCCAGCAGTATGATTGTGATTAAATCCATCCAAAGCTGCATGTTGATGCAGCTACATCTTATAAAATCTTTATTTTTCGTCTAGTTTCATTTTATAAATATATTTGTCCGATCAGTCAACAGGTCTTTTAAGTTAGAATGACTTGTATTGGGTACTGCTGTTGCCTTGGTGTGAAGAAAATAAAGACAAATGACAGTTGCTGAAGATTTTTCTTTTTCTGTTTTTCAGTTAAATAGTAGAAAGTGAGAAGAGTTAAGAGTCAGGTTTTAGACAATGGTTGAAGTTTCTTGCAAAACTCACAATAAACCTGGTTATCTGGGAAGGTTGTATCTTTACCTTGGAGGAGCTGCCTGGCACATCCTTTAGAGTACATAGGTTTTGCTGGTTTTACTCAACCTAGCTATTAAGTAGCTGTGAGGAACAAAACTTTTCTTTTGGGAGAGTAGGTGGCGTTAATTTCCTTCCTCAGAAAAAACGGTTATATGTCTAGATGACTGTAAAACACAAGAAACTGTATAAAGTTGCTTAAATATAGATAAAGATGCTCTAAAAACAGATTAGAAAACACTTTTTTCCTACCAAAAAAAAAAAAAAGGAGAAGAAGCTGAAGTATGAAGGAGAAAATTTACCACTTCTTTTCCCTCTCATTTTAGGGTACGGTCAATGGTGTGCTGCTAGTGACGCCAAATAATATTATGTTTGATCCTCATAAAATGGATCCTCTGGTCCAAGAGAACGGCTGTGAAGAGTATGGCATCATGTGTCCAATGGAAGAAGTGATGTCAGCTGCTCTGTATAAAGAAATTGTGGACAGCAAAATTAAGGATTCATTAACCATGTAAGATAGAATAGTGTTTATAAAGCTTTGAGTAAATATGAACTGTAGCATATTGCTGACCATACTGAACTAGAAAAAACACATTTTCTTCTGTTTTACTTTTTGAGAAGAACGTCAAAAATTGTCTTGGAAAGACCCTTGAGAAAGCTTGCTTTACCTAAACTTCTCGTGTTCTATATACACTATAGAATAAATCCTCTTCTATATACATGGATTCTAATTTCCTCTAATAGTCTCTTTTAAAAATTGGTGGGTAGCAGGAGGTACCACAGCCCTTGCTCTGCCCCTTCCCCACTATGAAAGCACTAACAGGTGGTGGTTCAATAATTTAAAAACTGATGTACAGAATAGAGGAGTCTAACTTAAACAGCTTTAGGTACAAATCTTTGTTGTTTACTGTTTTCCACTTGCTTCTCAAACTCTTGTTGCTCTGATAAACAGTTGTAAGAGGTCTGTGTAGGTTTTTCTGAGGTTGGTTTATATTTTTATGGCATTAGGAGTGTATTTTGGGGGGTTTGGCTAGGAAAGGAACTGCTCATTTACCTTTGAGTGTAGCCTTGTTTGGGGTGAACAGAGGGAGTTTGGATGGGGTAGCTTTAATCACTGGTGTTGAGCATGGTAGGCATTTAAAACGGGCTTTACACAGAGTCGAGAAAAATGTGTTCCATTCTGTCTGTTGCCTAATTTTTATACTGTCCTTAGCAACAGGATAACTTAGAACACTAAAGCGAAAGAGGATTTTAAAAAATAAAAATTGTCCCACCTTTACCTATTGCAGCCCATAAAGCACAAACATTTGCAGACTGCCTTGACCCTCTAACTGCAGGGAGGTGGACTCCTTTAACCGAGGTAGAGCTGTCTGTGTGTACGAGAGACTAAAGCTGTTTGCCTGCTGTGTAACTTTTAAAAATAAGTAAGGTATAGAGATACTCACTAATTCTGAAAAGTGCCCTTTTACAGTTCTTACAGATAGTATGCTAAGAACATCTTTCTTGATAATCTCAAATGTCTGGATACCAAGAAGAAGAACTTGTCTTGTACCGTTTTGATTTTCAGCAGAGGCCGGCAGTAAACTGGTGTTTTGTTTGCTGCCTGAAGTCATGTGTTTCTTGAACAACTAATGTACATGGTACTATAGTACTACTTCGGGGGCGTTTAATGTACAGTGATGATGCCTTTAGCTTTCTGGAAGCTTATTTTCCAGATTAAGTTTTAAAAAGTTGCTCCTAGTTAGTTGACGTACAGTGCAAGTAATGAGATTGTGAAAACAGATGACTCTCTTTAATTTAACTGTTTGAATTGTAATATTGCAGTTGCAAAACAAATCCTTTTCCTAACATATTTATTAACGACTCAATGCTGACTTAGAAATTTACCTTCCATGCCAGGTTGGCTTTTGTGCTCTTGTAGCACATGCGCTTTCTGTTTTGTTTATAAGTTAAGTGCATATGGAATGAAAACATGGCTAATAATAAAAGGTCACACAGTGCATTCAGAGCCCTGTATGTCCAATGTAATTTATCTATCTTGTCAACTTTATAAGTGATTAAATGGAACACTAACTTCTAGTGTTTCCTTCTGTCCCAGTGTTTTTATGCCTTAACCTCCTAAAAATTTGAGGCATGTTCTTAAATTTTGGCTAAAATAAAATTTGAATTTCTTAAGTCTGTAACAAGAACTGCCAACAGCTATAGCTAGATCTGACGAGACCTGTGTGTCTTGAGGTTTTTGAGACTTAATGTTTTCCCACTATTTATTTTTTTCTAAATATTCCACTGTTACAATTAACCCTTTTTGTCTCCCAATTGTGCCAACTGTCAAACCTGTTTAAACTTGGAAAAAACAATCTGAATACTGAAAATAACATTATTAACGTCATGGAAACTGATCACAAACCCAATGGATTCTTTGGTTCTTAAAACTTAAATTTCATGTCATATGGTTTCTATATATAAGCCACAATCTGTGCTGAAACTGGAAAAAATCTGACAACATACAGATGTTTTATAGATTTCATAAACGTTAGGTTGGCCTTGTCCAAGAGCACCTATTACTGGCTTAATCCTGGAAAATTAGGGAGACAGCCCACTATAATAGGTGATCAATCCTAAACTCTAATCCACGTGCTTTGGAAGCAAAGTTACTACATCAGCACAAATTTAATATCAGCGTCATGTTAACACTTGAAGAGGATGCATGTGCTTTGCAAACACCCTGAATGTTAGCAGTCTCTCAGTAATGTCAGTAGTATGACCTAACTGAATAAAAAGTTTGTAGAAATGTGGAGTGGGTTTATCCTTCTTCGAGATGGGAGGTGAAGGTACAAGCTTCTTAAAAGCATTTGATACTGGGTAATGGAAACAATGTGCTTGTGGTAGCAAGGGAGTGACATTGAGAACTCTAGTCGAATGTGATTAAAAATGAAAATTTTTTTTATGAATGTTGTGTACTGCTCAGGTTTTTTGAGAACATTGGAAAAGCTGGAGTCGTGTAGATACAGTTGATCATGTTCACAATCCCCTTGTAGTCCTCCTGTTCTGAAACTTGTAGAGTTTCTGGTTGTCTTATTTTGAAAGGCACATTTGAATGAGATTTTCTTCTGGGGAAAAATAAGCAAACGTAAAAGAATAACTTTTTTCTTTATGCTATCTGTCAGTGTTGGTCAGCTCTTTAACTTGTTCAGTGGTACCAAGCAGTTTGGGATTTATTTTGCCTAACAGTGCTATCCTCAAGGTTAGGTGCCTGACTGATGAAGACCCTACTCACTGTTAGATATTTCCCATGGAGAGGTTGGCAAGATCTACCTTGATCAGATCTACCTTGATGGTTCCTGTCGTGCTGCATTGACTATCTTAGTAGCTCAAGTCAGACCAAATGAGTTCTGCCATTCCTGTTGTGCTGGTGACCTGGGTGTCACCTTCACGATGGAGCGGGACAGGTCTATACCATTACACTGGCCTCTTTGATAGACAAAGCCTAAAAGAATGTGGAGGTTTCCTACATCCAGAGATTATTTTTGTGTACCTTTTATGTTACCTTTTTTTTTTCCTGTTTTTTATTTTATTTTTACACTTTAAGCATCTCAAACAATCTTGGTTCATAGGAGAGCTTCCCCTTGTGAAAGTCATGTCATTAAGTTGGGAAGGCATATCTGGTTATTCTGGCAAAAGGTCTGGCAAAAGGTCTGCCATAAAGAGCACAGAATATATTTCGTGCTTGTTTCTTATTACTGACACTCTGGGTTAAATATTCTTTTTTAGTTAGTTTATTTTTTTTTTAAAGAGCACCTTTAAATTTTTTCAGCATTAAATAAAACTTAATAAAGAAGAGAGCCTGATGTAAAAGGCACCTGCTATAACAACATTCTTATTTGCTCAACAGAGATGTTGAACAGCTCTCCATAAGGGAACTTTGCCATTCCAAGAAAGCTGCAAAAAGCAATACAGATGAAATGGATTCCAGGATTCGGGATACAGGCAATGACAGCGCTAGTACTGCCCCAAGGAGCACAGAGGAGTCTCTTTCAGAAGATGTCTTCACAGAATCGGAGCTCTCTCCAATACGGGAGGAACTTGTGTCCTCAGATGAGCTTCGACAAGACAAATCTTCTGGAGCATCATCAGAATCTGTCCAAACCATAAACCAGACTAGTGCTGAATGTTTAACAATCGTTTCAGACTCCAATGAAGCTGCCAGTGACTTAAAACCCAGTGCCGAAATGGTTGTAAATGTTGAACAGTTGGGTCCTGATAGCTTAGGTTCAGAAAGCGCTGAAATGTCTGTAAAGGGGAGACAAGAACCTCGTGAAAATATTGCAGGTGTCCTCCAGCAGCCTTTGCGAGGATCACGCGGTGGGGAGCATGACGAAGAGGCAGAAGTGGGCAATGTTCAAGATTCCTCACTAGGAAAAGCACCAGAAGCAGAGAGTAAGCCAGGAGAGGAGTGTTCACGTTGTGAAGATACCACAGACTCTCCAAAGCAGGAGACGAGTAGCAAAGGCCAAGTAGCGAGAGTGCGAACTCGAGACTCAGAGACAGAAGTTGAGGAACTCCGCGAACTCTGGAAGACCCACACTATGCAACAAACGAAACAACAAAGAGAAAATATGCAACAGGATTCAGGAAGAGAAATGGGTCAAAAAACTCTGGCTGCACGAGATGGGCAATTAGAAGGTGAGTCGGTATTTATGGTTACAGTGTTAGGCTTAAGATTTACAATCATCTCCCTCCAGCTCATCAGAATTTGCATCTGTTCTTGTTCTGTAGAACGCATCTCCCCGTATATTGCTTACATTTGTCATTGGCTTGAAGATGCACCTAAGTTATACCTTGTATAAACCAGTGGGGAAAATATTGCTCAGGACACTGAAAATGTCGTATGCCTTTGTTACTGTCATTTTTCCTCATTGAAATCATATTTATGAACATATTAAAACACAGTGTCTCTGCAGGGGAAACTTAAATGAGCCTGTGAAATGAGAGCTATGACACGTGGGTCACTGTAGAGCTCAAAATTAAAAATGTTCTTTAGCAGTCAGCTAGCTGTCACTTAAAACTTGATCCCGGGGTACATGTGTATGGATGAATTTCAGGGAATGGATTTCATCTGATTTGTAGCATGTCTGCCTTGGGGTTCAGTTCTGTGATGTGAGCAATGAACACTGGAGGCTTCACAGGGATACTTTCAGAACTTCGTTTCTCTTGTGTCTTGTCAGGCTTTCATGCTGGCTAGAACAAGGTTAAGTATACAAAGAGCATTTCTCAGGATAAATAAGAGCTAGATGGTGAGAAATTAATGCTGTGAATATGGGGAACCAGAAGGTTTGTTTCTTGGGTATCTTTACTCCTCTGTGAAGATCAGACCCCAGGATTATTGGTTGGAAGTTCTCTTTCAAAGTCTGAAGTTACTCAATTCCTATTAAAAAATGCTGTGTCTTGTTGAAGTAATTTAGAGGTGTTTCTGTGTGTATTTGATTTTGCTTTTTAAAAAATTCATAGGTCACTTTATGATGCCTTACCTTCCTACTAATGGAGATAAACTAGTTGTTTTAATTGTGCAATATTTTGAGGGCTAGAAAGGAAACATTATCTATAATGGCTGTCACAAACTAACAGATTATTTGCAAAGTGCATTTGAAGGTCAAATTATTTGTGTTAATTATTAGAAGTTCAGATTATACTGAATACAGAGGTACATTCTTCAGTGGACAGAACTCATCTTGCACATCAGAATCTGATATGATAGTTTGGGGGTTTTTTTCCTCTCCTGTTAAGAAAGTAACTGAATTTTGGAATTTGAAGCAGATTAATAGTTGCATTTTTCTGTGACAAGTTAGGCTTATATGCCTTAAATATTAGAAGAAATCCTCTGGCAAAAATGTCAGCTAGCAGTAGCCACTGGCTGTGACTTTTAAAAAACACAAGCACCAAGTGTTCTTTGCTGCAGTTGCTGCTTTTCTTGCAATCGAGTATTATTTGGAATTCTGTTGTATTAGATGCTTTAGTTTTGTCGGTTTTCTAGAAGACTGCATCGAGTGGCTCTGCAGGTTTTTAGTGCATGTTGACCTGTGCAGTCACTGGGTGGATACATACATCATCCAGAAAGGGTCTGTGCACATTCAGCCAGAGGAGTGCTGGCTAGAAGCCTTCTGCACATGGTGTTACAGCATCACTGAAGGTTCTGGGGGTAAAATAGAAAAAAAAAATAAAATTTAAAAGCACAGGTTACTTTTTGGAAATATGTGCCAGTAAGTTCAGTCCAACCTCAATTTGAGTTGTTCTGTGTTTCTTATTCTTGCATGTCTTATTAGCAGAATGGAAATAAAACAGTCAATTATGAAGTGATATTTCTCAGTGCACGTAGATGTGATGAAGCTTCTGCTGGCTCTGTGTACAGGCGAGGTTAAATAGACCCAAGGTAAAAGCATAGAGTTGTTGCTTAACTCTTGAAGGTCACCAGAGATTAAACATAAGAGGTCTATTAACGGCAGGTCAATAAAAAACAGTAGGTCACTAAAAAAATTGAAACACTGTAAAGACTTTCTCATATCCTGTCTATGGGACTAGAACTCTAAAGTATTCATAGTATGTGTTTTTTACAATTCAGTTACTTAGTCTTTATCTCCTGCATATAGCAAGGACTTGGTTGAATTTCTTTTGTGGGAGTTCTGAGCATCTAGGTTTTTGGGAACTATCATTTGTTGATCTTCACAGAGGTCAGATAGTTCAGAGTTTGGAGCTGGTGATCTGTTCCTTCTGAATGTTGAACAGATGATGCAATACAAGCGAGTAGACTAGAATAGCTTAGTAACAGGACATGAGCAGGGATTGGAGGGGGGTGAGGGAAGCATGAGACACAACAGCCAGTACTAAAAATCTTCTGATGAATTCTGTGTCAAATATATGCCTTGGAGAACACACCCAAAAAGAGCATTTTAAATAGTCCTTTTGAGATTCGGGGGTAGGGTTAAATTCTTTGTTTCCACTCTCTCCGCTAGCTGGAGGTTTCATCTCACTCGTTTTCCTGTTTAAGGTGTGATACCAATCCTGCTTCCCTGAGCTCTAGGTCAGAAGTTCTGAACTGCTCCACCTGAAGGACCAACATCCCAAATACCACATCACTTCAAAAATACTTCTCTAACACTGCCACAGAGTTCACATGCCAATCCTATGAAACAGGGGTTTTGTTTATTTTGTATTCTTCTTGGTTTGGGGCTTTTTTATCTGACAATTTACCTTTGAGCTTACAGGTTTATAAAATACTCAAATCATGCAGATTATGGCTATTCTACCGTGCTGTGTACTGCAGGTGTAACTCTGAAATGGAGCTGAAAATTAGGATGTGCACATTTAAATATTTACTGAAAAAAATATATACCTTTTTAGCATGGCAGTGCTCCACACTTTATGGTGACAATCTGATTGTGAGAACATAGAGTATGGATGTTTATAGGTCAAGAAGGTGATGTTATCTGTGCTGAGTGTATCTGTAGTCTGCATGGACACTGAAGGAGAAAAAATGAGTGTCCTAGAAAATTGGAACATTATGTACATGTAACACCAGAGGTAGGATGAATCCTTTGTTGTCATAGCTGATCATAAGAACTCCTAAATTTACATTTTCCTCCCTTACTTTACAAAGTCTCCTGTGGCTGGAGCTCCTGTTCTAGGATTTGGGCAATTTATCTAGCAAAGAAACAATTTTTCAGAAGGCTTCTTGCTTTACCTTGTGTTGGCTTGACAGCCTGGGCCTTGAGGGCAATCGTATAATTCTATTAGTTCAGTTAAAAATATACTAGTGGAGGGAAAAATCCCATACTTAACATCCGGTGTACTGCATCCTGAAGCACTGTTCGTACCTTTGAAGTTTGTGACGTTAACACTTATTATATTCTTTATTTTTTAAATTAAAAGTAACTAATGAACAGCTTTGACATATGTGAGTCAAGCCCAAGTCCTTATTTGATGCTGTATCTTGTACCTGTATGTGGAATATGTTTCCCAGTGGGAGGGCTGTCTGGTTCAGTGTTGAGAGCGATGCATTGGGAGTATCTTCTGATGCACTGGGAATATCTTCTGAAATACTTCCAAGCATGGATGGAAGACTATCGTAATGTGATCTGGGGTTGAAAGTGGAAATTACTGTTAGAATTATTAAAATGTGTTATACTCTGAAGTTCATTCTGCTGATGCAATTTGCATAGCAAAAAGGGCAGGTGATTATTAGTACCTGTGTGACCTCGTGTCCTGTTACTGATATATGCATTCTATATACCTGTATTGCCTAATACAAAATTGGCTAATAATTTTGTTAAGCTCTTTTATAGGTTGTGGATAGCTTACTTTTTCTTTACTAATAGGTTCTTCTCTTACAAAAGAAAAAAGACGACATCGCTCTCACAAGTTTCTGCGTCTCAGGGTTGGCAAACCCATGAGAAAAACATTCGTTTCACAAGCGAGCGCATCAATGCAGCAGTATGCACAGAGGGATAAAAAACATGAGTACTGGTTTGCTGTTCCCCAAGAAAGGTAAGAAGGAGGTAGGCTGTAAAAATCACTACTTTCCAATAGATCTTTAAGTTTGGTTTTTCTTTTGCACCATTCAGAATTTTTCAGTGACGGTAAGCAACACAAAACCGAGGATCTGATGATTGGCTTCTACTTAACACTGGGATGCCTCATTACTGTGCCGAAGTTCTACTGATTTACTTTGAGTTACTTGCAGCTTTGACCAATAGTTTCTCATGGTGTTATTTAGGCTTCTGTTTGTAGCAAGTAGATAATGAAATAAAGATTCAAGTGGTGTCTGGTGAAGGAAGTTCTGCAACAAAATTTTTATTGTCGTTATCTGTGCTTCCTGTTATTCGGAAACTTTCTAAAAGTTCTGTCTTCTTGAAGCTCTGAGTTCAGAAGAACTAGCTGGAGTTCTTTTGTCTTATCTTTATATATGGAACATAAAACTTTTCCAGGAAACAACTTAAACACATCTACTGGAAAAATATCTAAATTTGTTGCAGTGATTCAAAGGCATGAGATGTCCATGCTCACTCATTTAAGTCTTGAATTCTTAAATGATTTTTACTGCTAGGATCCTGTGACTTATTTTCAAGTTGCATGTGGTTTTTGGAGGTACTGGAAATTATTATATCCTTGTCAGAAGAGGAGGGGGGAAGGGAAGAAATACACAACAACAAAAAAACTATCATCTATCATCTTGTATAAATACCTACACACAATGATCAAGTCGCTTTTCCATCTTTTCTTTTGAGCTGAATGGCATAGAATGTCCAGTTGGGGCACTGCAGTTGAGGACAGATATGGATCAATTGGAGAGAGTCCAGAGGAAAGCAGCAAGACTAATTAATACCTAGAAAGTGTAACATATAAAGAAAATTAGAAGTAAGTGGGGTTCTTTAATCTAAAGGAGAAAAGGTTGATTACAAACATAAAATCATTTCATACTGAAAAGTTGGCTGCAGCAAGCCAGGCAGCAGTCTCCTTTTGTGTGTGTGTCCACTGTGAATGAAGATGTGTAATGGACTGAAATTACATCAAAATATCTGAGTTTTCCAACAGGGAGGATTGATTCTATGCTAGCACATTGCTAACCTGCTGCCCTGAAGTGGTGGAAATTACCCAGTTTCTTAAGATAAATGTCTGTCTGGCCAGATGACCTCTTATGGTTACAGTCAACTCAAATTTTCTTCTTCTAGCAATATCATATTTAATTTGAAACAGATTAGTGTTTCACATGTGGCAATGATGTCTAGGTCAACTGATTAAAATGATTACTGTCTCTGGTTCATTTTCTAATATAGCTGAGAAGGTACTTCAGCATGAAGCAGAATTTATTATCTGTTTTGGAAGAAATAGCTCTTAGTTTACAGTCTGTATCTGATCTCCTTGGAGATGACCCCACCTGTGGAGGGTTTCCTCTCTGACTGCATGGCAGTTGGTAACCTGTTCTTGGCCATCCAGTGTGTGTCCTGTGCTTCTGTACACGAAGGTTGCATGTGGTGGCAGTGGGGTGTTTACTTTCCAACTCGGTGTTCACCTTGCTGAGTGCTCGCTACTCTGCATAGGTCAAAATATTTGGTGTCAACCCAGTTGTCTTTGTCACCTAAGTGGTAGGTGTCGACAAACTTGTGTAATTTCAGTGTTCTTCATCCCAAATGAGCCAGGCTAGGAAGGAGTGTCTTAGAGTTCCTTAAACACCAAGTTTTATTTACTTTTTTAACTGCTATAGTTATGCACAATTCCAAGATCTTAGAAAGTTAAAATTAGGATTTTTTTTTTATTTTAAATTTTCCTATTTGTAAGGCTTGTTAAAGTTGACACCTTTTTGGGGGCATGAGGAGTCTGCAGCTTCTTGTTCTGACTTTGCCATAGAACTTATCTAGCCCTAGGCATCTTAAATGTTTTGTTCTCTCTTACTGGCAGAGAAAGTTGTCTTTTTTTTTTTTTTTTTTCCTTTCATCAATGTTATGCGGGAACCTTAATTTTAACAAGGTAGACTTTGAATACCTGACCCTGTGGAGAGACTGTTATTCCATACCAGTGTGCTGCATCCGTTTAGAATTAGAGGCAATGGTTTTCAGAGAGTTTGCTGCTTTGTTTCTCTTGCTGTTCTTTGAATATCCAGATTTGCAGGGGTTTAGTAAGGAAAAGAAAAAGTCCTAATATTGTTCTTGATGGTAATCTAGTTCGCAGATTCATTGTAGCAAATCTCTCTGAAGAGAAACATAAGGAATATTGAAACTCTTGTTAACCAGAGCCATAAAGCTCTAGCTCTGAAGCTGGCTTTTCCGTGCTGCAGAGATAGTTGTGGATTCACTGCACGTCCTTTTTCTCAGGGTTCCATCTGTACGCCTGCAGGTAATGCTTGAACAGTACAGGCTGAACGTCTACTAGGGTTGTAAAGAACTTTGTTCTGGGAGTTTGGGTGTTTTGTTCTTCCAGCCTGGAGAACCATGCCATTTGTGGCAGGTAACTTTGAAGGAGGTGACTTGGAATCTTGGTACTTGCTGCAGTTAGTCTGTGGCTTATCATCTAGCTATACACATATATTTATATATATATATATATACACA